CCACTAGAAACTATCAATTTACGTTTTCCAATACTATAAGGGCACTTGAGTCACAACACGTTTTTACTCAATAATAGTTCCTGTATAAGTAAAATTGCTTTTTAATGTGCTTCATTGAAGCACACTAGACATATTGCAGTTTTGCCATCACATTCTTCACAGTATGTTTTAACTTGTTTAATTTTTCTATCGGCCTTTCTACTAGTCACGCTTATTCTTAAAATTTTGTAACCTCTTGTACACTTCCTTCTCTTTTTATTATCTACATCGCTTTGCCTGAGATGGTATTTTTTGGGTGTAATTAGTCATCAGGGTTTCAACATTTCTTTATTTGCAAACGCCTTCGCTAATTCCAGTCTGAACTCAAGGATAGGTTGTCGCTTTTTTCGCGTTTTCTATTATTTAGCAACTAAGTATTGACTACTGCGGTATTAAATATTAATTCCACTGCCACTTTCCGGTACCACTTTAGTATTTTGCGTATTGGGCTTTTGTAAAAAGCCATTTGATCACTAAAATCAACTCTTTTTTCTCGTTATAATCTAGAATAGTTTGTGGTTTTAGCACTTGTGTCTAATTTTATTTTCCACCTGAATAAACCAAGATACAACTATTATGCTTTGAGGGTATACAAGGCAACTATCGAACACGGTGATTAATTTAATCTTGCCCAAGTACTTTCAATCAATAGATCATCTTCAGGGGCATTTCGTCAATTGTGGACTATCCGACATAGTAGAATGTCATAAATTTAAAACTGGACATAACAATACAAAATACACTACACTAAGACAAACAAACACTTTAAAATTTATATGGCGAAGCTACATATTGTGAAGAAGCCGGAGACAGAATGACATCATTCTGTCTCCGGCTTCTTCACAATATGTAGCTTCGCCATATAAATTTTAAAGTGTTTGTTTGTCTTAGTGTAGTGTATTTTGTATTGTTATGTCCAGTTTTAAATTTATGACATTCTACTATGTCGGATAGTCCACAATTGACGAAATGCCCCTGAAGATGATCTATTGATTGAAAGTACTTGGGCAAGATTAAATTAATCACCGTGTTCGATAGTTGCCTTGTATACCCTCAAAGTTTAATTATTCGAACATTCAACCTTATATTGATTTAACAACTATTATGTTTAAATGTTGTAATAATTAAAACTGGTTCTTTGTCGACCCATTTTATCACTTGTGAAATCAATAATGGGGTGAAGCTTCAATATAAGTAGTTGCGACTTTTTTAATCTAGATTTTGGTTTTGTATTTTTTGTAGTTAAACATCTGCACATAAATTCGTTTCTTGAACTATGATTTGAATTCATCGACCCATATTCTAAAAGAAATGTGTTTTTACGTTGTCGGGAATATTATAAATTGGTTATCTTTCACAAAGCATTCGAAATATGATTTAAATTCTATTTCAGAAAAATTTTTTACTGCAACTCTTGTTCGACCTAAACTAAATTATTACACAAAACAAGTAATCTATTTTTTTATAGAAATGTAGAAATAGAATTTCCTGTCGAAGTTTTATGTGTGGCATGAGTCACTGGTGTCTCGTATATACGGTCCTCTTATCGCATTACAAACATAATTCTCAATGAACAGTGCGGTAAAAGATATATTTAGGTTGTATAATCAAGCCGTAATACTTGTCGTGAGACCATAAAACCGTATGTTATAAATAAATATATTCCTACAAGAATTATCTTAAAAAATGAGAAAAATACAATAAAATAGTGCAATATGAAGTGTTATTTAAAAAATGGCAAGTCATTCACGGGCGGACAGTTAGAAACAAAAGTTTTCAGTGTTCTATTGCTTGATTTTTTACTATAATTTACTATATTTTACTTGATACTTGAAATACTTAGGAACATGGATAACATCAGATGTAGACCAAACCAAAGAAATTAAGACACGTATTGAAATAGCACGTACATCATTTATTAAACTTAAAAAGTTTCTTTGTTGTCGGGATATAAGGTTAGAACTACGCCTGAGAATGCTTCGATGTTACGTGTTCTCTACTCTTCTTTATGGTCTGGAAGCTTGGACACTAAAACAAGTTCATCTGAATAAGTTGGCCGCCTTTGAATTTTGGTGTTACAGAAGAATCCTACGAATATCATGGACTCAAAGAATGTCAAACATGGAAGTAACTAGAAGGATAGGAAATGAGGCGGAAATAATATTAACTATTAAAAGACGAAAACTTGAGTACTTGGGACATGTGATGAGAGGGCAAAAATACGCATTATTACAACTTATTATGCAGGGCAAAATCCGAGGAAAGCGAAATGTGGGAAGACGAAGAATATCCTGGCTTAAGAACTTGAGGGAATGGTTTGAATGCAGTAGTGCAGAACTTTTTAGAGCGGCAGTCAACAGAGTCCGCATAGCCATGATGATTTCCAACCTTCGATAGAAGATGGAACTTAAAGAAGAAGATTGCTTGATTATTATTATCTGGTTGGTATATTTTAAGAAAAGGCGGTGACACGCGAAAATTTTAAAAACTTCTGTAATAGCCTCCAGTCAACAATTTTCTAATCATGTTTAAAAAACGTACCGAATGCACTGTGTATACTAAGGCAAGTCGTGTTGTTGCAGTTATGTATTACGATCAACTTAAAGGTTATGCATGACTCCCTTTGTAAAGGTACATAGGCGTGCTCCCATGCCAAACCAAAAGATTTGTCATACTGTCATACCGTTACATTATATCATATTATAACGTTAAATATTTTATGGTGCCCTTTGGGTACAACGAATGATCAACTTTTTCCCGCACAGATGCAAGCCTATGTACCTTTACAAAGGGAGTCGTTTGCTGGATATTAAAGAACCATCTATGGTCATCATATAATTTTACGCCAATATTTCACGTTCTGCGATGCATTCCACGTATGATACACTGTCCTATCCCATTCACGTCACAGCGTCAAGGAGCAATAAATGTGAGCAGTTAACGGAAGGCATATGTCTAACAGTGAACGTTGGACTTTTTCGCGTTTATCATATGTACAGTAGTTAACTAAAAGTGGAGGTATGCAAAGAGATGTATGACGTAATCGTATACTATTCGCTAAATCCTGTCATAATAACAAATAATAATAATATCATCAAAGTAATATGTCATACACCTCTGTGGGTTAATACGTTTTATTGCTGCCAGTTTACGGTGTTATTACACGCCACCATGTTTAATTTGTCTCCACCATCGTATTATCTCCGTCAAATCCTATCATTTTAAGCTCTATATGTCATGATTAGACCTATAGCACCTGAGATACATAACTAAGGCTCTTTTGACACAGCATATATAGGAGCAAAGATATACACCTAAGGTTCTTTTGACGTGTTGCTGTATTTGATTTCTACGTCGTATTATTTTATTGGTTATATGCTATCATTTGAGGTACTGTACGTCACGATTGGACTAATAGGATAGAAAACACATAACTAGGCCCTTTCGCCACGCTACTCTATTTGATTTTTATATCTTATTGTATTCTATTAGTTAAATTCATGATACTATGAACTAAAGATAAACCCACGCGCACGCGATCAGTCTATCTGTTTTGCATGTGTGACGTCACTTGGCGACAAATATCACCAGAAATGTTCTGTTTTGCATGGAGTTTTGTCAGACTTAGTATTGTTTTATCGTTTATCTTGTACGTTGACAAATAAATGTGTGCACTTTATATAAAACATATTTCAGAATATTAAATTAAAGATAAACTTTTATCGCCAAGTCACGTCATGTGCATCGATGTAAAAAATTGGATTGCGAAGTGGTTTTATCTCGGAAGTCATAGTATCGTGAGTTAAATTCTATCATTTGCAGTACGAAACGTCACGATTGGACTAATAGGATCTCAGAAACATAACTATGGCCCTTTTGACATGCTGCTGTATTTTATTTTTCTTTCTCATTGTATTCTATTGGTTAAATCCTATCATTTGAGGTGCTGTAAGTCACGATTGTGCTACTAAAAAGAAGATACGTAACTAAGGCTCTTTTTACGTGTTGCTGTATTTAATTTCCAATTTCAAGTTATTGTATTCTATTGATTAAGTGCTATCATTTGAGATATCGTACGTCACTATTGGCCTAATAGGACCGAAGGTACATAACTAAGGCCCTTTTGACATGCTACTCCATTACCTCATTTTATCTCATTGTATTTTATTTGTTAAATCCTTTCATTTGAGGTACTGCACGTCATGATTGGACTAACAGAACCGAAGATACACAACTAAGGCCCTTTTGACATTGTGCTGTATTTGATTTTTCTATCCCATTGTATTGTTTACGTTAAATCTTATCATTAGAGGTACTATACGTCACGATTGGACTAATAGGATCAAAAATACGTGACTACGGCCCTTTTGACATGTTGCTGTATTTGATTTTTTTATTTCATTGTTTTCGATTGGTTAAATCCTATCATTTGAGATACTGTACGTCACGGTTGGACTTATAGAAACGAAGATATATAACTAAGGCTTTTTTGACATGCTGCTTTTCTGTCTTATTGTATTTTATTGGTTAAATCCTATCATTTGAGGTGCTGTACATCACGACTGGACCAATTGGAGCAAAAATATGCAATATATACTCCGTTATATATACCCAATATATAACCCGTTACTTTTAATCAAACAAGATGCTAGAATGATTTGTGGATGAAAAAAATATATATAAATTCTTAAATTCACCATTTCGTTGTGGGTAATAATATATTCAACAGCGATGCCAATTTTCTGATGCTAAAATGATTGATAATGAAAGTGCGATATACATTTTCATGTATATAATGGCAGCGAGTAAACGGTAAAACCCTGAACTAAATATATATAATATTTTCACTGTACCATCATTTTAGACTCAAACATTTCCTGGAATAAACTTATATAACTCAGTAAGGGATAAAAAGAGAAAGCGGACATTTTAAAATACCAAATACATAAAATGTAACAAACCTTAATAAATTTATTCGTTCTTCTGATGACCCATTATTTTCTTCAACTAAAATTGGTTTTGAAGTATTCGGCTGTACCTGGGCGTAAGGATGTTCAGTAGAATTAATTTTGTCATATTTGACCCTTTCATATGGTGAAAAATTATCATCGTTTTGACTAATTGAACTATGTTGTGAAATACTGGGCCGTTGGTCGAGGCCATTTGCTATTGTATGTCTTTTAGCTAAAAGTATAAAAATAATTTGTGAATTAAAATGTTTAACCATATTTCTAGAATAGCACAAAATTAATTGTCAATCAAGACGTACATCAGATCTTTATAGATTTTTAACAGGCTTATGATTCAATTAACCGTCTAAGACTATGAAATGCAATGGTTGGTAAAGTAACTTCTTTCTACAAATTATAATAGGAGCAAATGCATCAAATGCTGTCTGAATTTTGGACTGAGACAGAGATATCATGTGAAAAATTTATCCGAAAAGAAACCCAGATATAACTGCACGTGGAGCAAATACCGTTCTCTCTGCAATCACGTAGATGCAGTAGCACATAAAATTAGCAGTTAAGGATACTTTCTTAAGATTTGAAGAAACTGCATTAAATATCGGTCTAAAATTAAATGAAGACAAAACAAAATACATGGTCGTTTCAAAACAAGAACGACGGCGAGATCATAACTTCGAAGTGGTTAAAGAATTTAAATATCTAGGAGCAATAATCACCAATGACAACAAGAGAAGTTGAAACGCGAATAATGGCGGGAAACAGATAATTCTTTGCAATGCAACATCTAATGACGTCAAAATTTATCTCACGAGGTGCAAAAATCCAGATATACAAGATCGTAATACGATCAGCACTCGTGTATTCTTCTAGTATTATAAGGCCTTTGCAGATATAGTCTGACAAACGAATGGAGACAAAGACACAAGTTAGAATTTCTCTTTGAAAGAAAAATCTAGTGAGAGATATATAAAGACCAATAGACCAAGATTGGCATTAGATTGGCAGGACATGTTATACGCAGTAACGACAATCCCTTTATGTTAGGTCGGCTCTGCGTGGCGCCGCAGCGTCTCGATGGCCGACCGTTCGAGAGGGCCAAGGACAATACGCGAGCAATAATCAAGTCGCCGGTATGGGGTCGGATCGAGAAATTTCTACTACAATCTAGGAGCCAACTGGACAATATCAATACTGAGAATGAGTCATAGAGAATCAGTCTAAAATATAAATATGTATGCGAATGAAGTAAAAAATATATGTTAAACAAATTAATTGTGTTTTAGTGAGCGTAAATAAATTAATATAGTGTAAAAAATAACTGTAAAATAAAAACTAAATAAAAATCTTAAGTGTAAATTATTAATAAATAACTAAAAACAGTGCAATAAACAATGTGTTTGGGTAAGATCAGATGAGAGGTCTATAGAACGGCCTAAAAAAGGTGGAAAGATGCAGTCAGAGAAGATCTGGAGAAAACGGGAGTGAAACAATGGGAAATAGCGGCAGAGAACCTAATAACATGGAAGGCAAGAGTTATGTTAGTAAACATTACCAATACCTACAACAAGAAACAACAGAGAAAAAAAATCTCCTTAAAAAGGGAGAATAATTCTAGGTGTTTTAATCTAATCTTTAGTTTTAGTATAATCTGAATTGAATTTATTGGTTTTTACGTATAATAAGGGGAAAAAATTATGAGAAAAGAAAAATCAAGAGGAAGAGAGCTTCACTGCAGCAAAAGTCTGTAACGGGTTTTTATGGGAGAAGCGTCAATATTAAGGCTGTTTTCGCAGTTATAGCATACTGCGATTTGAAGTGGGCGTATCACTTACTTTTCTACACTGCTATGTCAGACCCTACGTGACTTCGTAATAGTTTGGATGTTTATTCAGTGGCGCCGGCCCACGGGTTGTTTAAAATAAATGCATTATTCTCCATTCAAATTAGTTTTGTCGGAATACTCTTTTTTAGATTAATTATCGCAGATAATGTTTTAGAAAGAATTAATCACATTTTTAATTTATATGTCTTAGCTAAACATAGTATTAAATAAAAATTTGTGAAACGTGACTGCAAAAAACACCATGGTGTTTATTTATAATAATTTTAAATTTTTTTATATTAATATGAATATATAATTAATATTTTGTTAATATTTGTTAGAGAAAACTGATATTAGCGTAGTAAAAATTAAACAAAAAATATTTTTATTTATCTATAAAAAATTGGTACCTGCGAAATCATCATAATAGTAAATGTATTTATCTGGCAAGTATTTCGAGGCGACGCACTGCGAGGAAAAAGAGCTCTGAATGGAATATACATTATTTTAATATATTTATAGGTTGCAGTTACATAAGAAAAGTATCCAATTGATGAATAAAACACAAATCGTGGATAGTTATTTCATCATATCAGTGGCATTTCAGCTCGTCATGAGCCAAAGGCTTCTTCAGAACAATCTTCCATTCGCCCCTGCCTCTGGCAACTTTCTCCATGCTTTAACTCCGATGGATTTTAGATCATCCTCTATGTTATCTTGATACCTAAGTTTTGGTCTTCCTCTGGATCGTCTTCCCACTGGTCCTCTTCGGTCGAAAATTTTTCTGATTGTTTCATCTTCATCTCGCCTAATTACATGTCCTATCCATCAAAGGCGTACTAATTTAATAAATTTTACAACGTCAGGTACTACACCTGAAGAAGCATCGTTGTTTACTTTATACGATCTTTTTGACCAAGCACCATCAGCTATAACGGTTATTAACTCATTTCCGTCGGAATTTACTTCACCAATTTCTTTGGCTAAAGCTAATTCCTCCCGTCCAGCCTCTTCTAAGGAATCACAAAGTGTTTGGCCGATGGTATCTGCAACTGTTTCCGTATGTTTTGCATACTGCCTGTAGGAAATCACAGGTATATTTAATGCAGCGTGCTGCTGCTGTATGTCTGAATAACCAGAACCATTCAAGTTCAGTGAATTGTTACCAGAATCCTATGTTGCTATCTCCTTTTCAATATTCCACATTTGACATTTAAAAGTCAATGTACTTATCAATCCGTCCATTTTTTCTTAGTTAATCTCCATATTAGAAAAGTTGCATGAAAATGGAGAATGATTATTCAAACCTTGAATAGATTAAGATTAAGAAGTTAAATAAAAGCTTTTAAAAACGGTTGTAATATAAATAATAAATACTAAAGCAGTGCAATTGCTCTCCTTTTCCTTGACAAAGGACGTTTACTAGGACTTATTTTTTATCTTGTCTCTTATAACTTATATCACTAACCTAATGTAATACTTAAAAATACGCGTAAACTAAAGAACTTTTAACTTATACCACTAAACTAATAATATATTACTTAACATACACGTAAACTAAATAATTTCAATGTTTTCAAAATAAATAAGAATACTGTAAACTGTAAAAACTAAGCAAGTTGATAAAGAAAATACAAGAATGAAAGAACTAAAATGGATTCTAATTCAAGCGAACTAACTGACCGTACCCATAGAGAAATAAAAATAAGACCGTACCGTACGCTCATGTGATTTGACGTCACTAATGCGATAACGATCAAGCTCAGCGACAATGATGAGGAACACGTTTCACTATTAGATTTCAGTATTTTTTAGCAATTTTCTTCAAAGTTTGAATACGCTTTTCTCGATTATTACTGGACACAGAAAGGTGAAAAAAGAATCAACGATTACAGAAAAAAAAACTCTTTCAACTGATGGGCGTGAAAAGTTTGGTTATAATAGAACGTTAAACAGTATAATCCAATTTTTCAACAGAAAATTCAAAAAAATAAAAAAAGTAAAACCATCAGTTTAAAGGCAACATAATTTCGTATAACATGTCCAAATTTCGAGACATTTCGTCGGTAAATAACAGAGAAAAAATTTTGGTGCACCGATAAAACAGCCTTAATATAAAGAAAAAAAAATGAAAAATATTGCAAACTAAGGAATGGTGTATGAAATTGTTAAAAAAAAGCAAGATATACGTTTTAGTCTAACATATCTTTCTAATTACAGTCAAAATGGTTAATTTTATTTTTATAAGCATACTTACCCGCATTTTGATACTGTCCAAGAGTTGCATAATGCTCCGATGAGTTATCTGTCGGATCCCAATTTACTGTAGTTATTTGTTCGGATGGAATATCTGGTAAACTTCTTCTAGAATTTGCTAAATTTCTAAAAAAAAAAAATAAGTAATAGTAACCTGTCAAGTGGTATCACAAAAGAGAATTTATATAATTTATGTATGCATATTATACTACGCTTATAGGTAAAATAAACACAATCGTCACTCAAATTCAAGATATGTGTCAATCAATTAGGAGATTGGCTTTCTTGTGCCACTATTCCCCATTGTCACACTCACATTTTCACCAGATCATCTTTGACTGATTTTTCGACCTTTTTCTAGGCCGTCCTACAGACCTTCGCCCATATGGTCTTGTCCAGCCCATCATATCCTGCTCATCTTGGCCGATTGACCATTATATATCTCACTAGATTTTTCTTTCTGAAGAGAGTATAACTCGTTGTTGTGTCTGCGCCTCCATTCGTTTGTCACGCTATCTCTGCAAGTGCCATATATTACTCGAAGGATTTTACCATGGACGTATAAATAAAGATGGACCGGTCTGTTTACATCTATACTTGATGTCATGAGATATTCACAGTCATAGGCACAAATCCCTAATTTGACGTTGTCATATTATTTTTTTTCCGAGTCAATCTTCGAAATAATTTTCGATTTTTAGTGTAATTTATTTTTAATCTATAAGTAAAAATGTATTATCTAATTAGTATAAACTATTTTTAGATATACTCATTTCGCAACCAAGGAATTAAAAGAAAAAAATTAATTTTTTAATTTATTAAAAGAAAATATATTCTGATAATCTTAACTTTTGTAAAACTTGGCATCGTTGGTAATATCAACCAATCCTAGCGATTTGACGAAAAAGAACATGGCGTTGTATTGTTTACCTTTGAGTTGATAATTTTCTTATTTGTGACATTTTAGTGAATTTGTTAATATATTTTAAATTAGAAGTGAAGAATAGTTGATAGTTAAGTGTAATAATGGTGCGTAACTGTGTTGTATGCAGGAAAACTTCATATTTACATCCAGAACTGTCATTTCATTCGTAAGTATTGTAAACATTGGAATTTTGTCCATAGGCGTAGTACAGGGATGTGATAATACTTCATGCTTGACATGAATTGAAGTTTAATTTTGTAGTATTATAAATACATTTATTTATTTTTTCTAATCTACACTATAATTGCTATAAATATATTAATTTCAATGAAATATATACATATCTATAGGTTATGTTCATTGTACGAATATTAAATTTAACCAAAAATAATGCATACTCACAGCATATTCCATAATATTGATAGCATGTCTTTTTTCGTTTTTGTTTAATAATTCAATGTTTTAGTTCTACAAACGATATGGAAAATAAAGCAACAGCTTCCAGTAGTATTGATAAGGATGATTTTTATGGACCTTCAAAGGGTGGGTTTGTATCGAATTTGTTTATTAAATTTACAAATAAAATCTAAATGTGGATTTTGATTACTTATTTCATTTTAATATTAAAATATTTTAGAAGTTTTATTGATACTGAAGAATGTAATATGGAGACAGACTTGGGCTTTAATGTAAAATCTAATTCTCCTAAACTATTAAAAAGGAGGTGAGTTTTGGCTATATTTTGTATGAGATTATTTCAATCTTAAACCAATTTTATTACTCTTCTTTAATGTACATAAATTGAATATTCTAGATGTTTAAATGACAATGAAGACAACAAGGAAAATATAGATACAGAAAACGCATCTTCGAGCACCATTACAGCATCAGAAACTGAAACTGAATCTGATTTACTATCTTTTAACGTGAATAAGACAGTAGCATTATCCTATAAAGGAGCTCTTCAACCCTTGCTTCTTAATAATAGCCGGATCAGTATAGTTGATTCTGTAAAATTTCATGGTATTTTTACAGACAACAACCTTAAATGGTTCCTTTATATCAATTTGTTAAGTAATAAACTAGTCTCAGCCTGCTATGCAATAAGATCTGTTTTAGAGTAAATCAATTTAGCATCTTCCAATAACATATTTTTCATGGTTCGAGTCTTATCTTCGATATGGCCTTCTTTTTGCGGTTCTAGTACAGCTGCCCAATCTAATGTTATTTTTAAATTACAAAAAAGAGCAATACGGTATCTTCTTGAACTCCGAAGAATAACACATTGTAGAAGCTACTTCAAATATCACGGGATTTTTACTCTTCCCTCTTCGTATATTCTAGAAACTATTTTCTTAATTGGTAAATACCTACATGTTTTTCTAACAGGACCCAATCATGACTACTCCACCAGAAATTCAACCTTTGATGTGTAATTATCGATCCCGTTCACTGACTTAGTAAAGAAATCTATATTATATTCGGCAAAAAAATTATACAATTATCCCCCTCTGCAACTTACAAATTCTATCCTTAAGTTCCGTAAAATGACAAAAACCTATCTATCTCAAAGACCGTATTATTCAGTGAAAGAGTATTCTGGAAGATTGGTAACTAAGGATGAGTTATTCATCTGACCGCGGAAATCTATCCGAACGTATATATATATATATATATATATATATATATATATTGAATTTGAAATATTTCCGCGGGAGCTATATGTAATTTCAGATGTTTTCCGGGTTTGACTCCGCGTTAAATAGTTTTGGTTTTTAGAAAAACCATTGTTTTGGCGACGTTTCGGCAAGGTCACACTCAAGTCAGATTAGTTCTGCTTTGTCTTGATGTTTCAGGAGAACTGAAGCAGAACTAATCTGACTTGACAATGGCAAGTGTGACCTTGCCGACACGTCGTCAAAACAATGGTTTTTCTAAAAACCAAAACTATTTAACGCGGAGTCAAAACCGGAAAACATCTGAAATCATATATATATATATATATATATATATATATATATATTATATATATATATATATATATATATATATTATATATATATATATATTTGTGTATCACATGCAGCAACTAAAACTTATTCGTAAACTATTTCATAAGGTTTTATTATGCAACAATTAGATTTTGCAATGAATTGTATATTTTACTATCTTTTATTTTGTGATATTGACGATTTTTGTAATTTTAGTAAATTTTAATTGTTATTATTGTTTTTTTTTACTTTTTGTAAGCATTGTATAATTTTCAATGACAATAAAGCATATTTCTATTTTAGAACCCTACCCGTTCCATAAGGTTTAATGTGATTTATATATTGTTGTATATTATGTGGTTTGTTGTTTATGTTTTGTTAAACAATGGTTTATGGTTTTATTACGTTTATTAATATTTTCTTAAACACATATTCCTGAATTTTTATCTTTCTTCTGTCTACTGCTATGTCTAACGTGACATACTAATGTTGCCAACTAACAATTAAGCTGGAGTTATACATCATAATTCACTATATTTTTTCAACTTATCACTCACTGGATAAGAGCAGAACATACTCAATACCCTGAACAGGTTAATGTTTGGGGAAGAATTTTTAAAACTTTTTATTGCTTGTGTGATATTTTAGTTTAAATAAAATATTATATAAAGTACTTTACGATTTTATTTACTCCATCTTTATTCTTTTGTGTAAATTAATTTTTATAAATATATTTCTATACACTGAAAATTAAAATTATTCACCGTTTGTTGTTTTTCACTTATTCGAAATATTTCATATGTTTACGATACTAAAAATAAAAGCAAGCAAAAGCAAAAGTCAAACCAATAGTCATTATTTATTCAAGTGAAAAAACTGTTTCAAATAACTTTCAAATATTGGAAGGTACGCCGCTGGCTTAAAAGGTAATGTCACAGTCTATCACCTCGTCTCTTTCCCCGCGCCTATAAACTTTTTGACTTCAAATTTAGGTGAACAGAGTGCAGGGCATGCCTAGTCCATCTTTATTTATACGTCCATGGATTTTACGTTCTCACACCAGCAGTTGATTTACTTTTTTTTTGTCAGCGTCCATGTTTCGCTTTCATATGCCATTAATGGTCGTATTATGGCTTTGTCACAGAATAATAAATAATCAGAATGCCCACTCTCCATGGAAAATTAAGTACGCGCATCTCCTTCACGCAGACGTTCCGCCATGTTTTAGAGGGAACTAGTGTGGTTTATGTGGTGTGCATAGAAAAATTAACCCGGTTTAATTGACTTACGGCAATCATAGACATACTATACAATTATATTAACATTGTTAAATATAATAACATAAATATAATATAATTAAACATAAATATAAACAATTAAATAACCTCACAAATCATATGTCTGTGTTATGTGTTTCCTTCTAAAACATGGCACGCGTGCTGAAAAACTTCAAAGGCGGCATCTGAGAGTGAGCATTCTGATTGTTTATTATTCTGTGGTTTTGTATAGCTTAAAATTGCCACCTCGTAAGAGAAGTTTTGACCACATTAGATATTGCATTGCAAAGAAATATCTGCTTCCAGCTATTATGCGTCTTTCAGTTTCTCGTTCTACTCTATTGTCATTGGTGATTGATGCTCCTGATATTTGAATTCTTTAACCACTTCAAAGTTGCGATTGTTTATAGTAACATTTTGCCTAATTCGCCGTCTTTTTACTTTTCGATCGATATTTAATGCAGCTTCTTCAAAGCTCGAGAAAATATCCTTAACTTTTAATGTTGATTGTGCTACTAAATCTACGTCAGGCGAGAGAGATCTTTACTCCCGGAGCATCTATGTCTAGTTTTATTTTCGGATTAATTTTTCGCATAACATATTCTAAGGCGAGATTAAACAACAATGGGGACAGCGGATCTGTCTGTCTTCTTCTCTTCTTCTTCGTGCGACTAGGATTACTCCTGTTTGTCTGCCTCTTATTCTGTTTCAGTCGTTGTTGACTGTATATTACCTTTCCACCTTTTTGGCGGCCTTCCAACGGGTCTTCTGCTATACGGTTTGTTGCTTTTACAGATGTTCGCTAATATATCTGGTCCTATTCTGACTGCCGTTAACAATTTTATTGTACTATCTGTTTGCCTCAGTCCAAAATTTAAGTAGAAAGCATCTGATGTAGCTTCTATTCTAACTCAGTTGATACTCAACGGAAAG